CAGCACTTAGCACACTGCATTGTTCCTCAAGTTTGCATGAACACACTATATGTTGTGTGACATTATTGTCTTGGGCCAAAACTTCTTGAAACATCACTCAGCTCCTCACCTTCTCAGCAAATCCTGTCAGCTCCACGTTGACCCTCACTGACTATGTCTCACTTTCTGTACAGTTACCCCGAGTCCTAGCCGTCAGTCCATCCTACAGGGTTATGGTCCTCCACTTTTCACCCTCTTTCAAGATGTAGCTAGAATGACCTTGCTTATTGTTTGAAATATTCAGCACAGATTTTCCTTCCATTTTAGAACTTTCAGTTTCCAATGTTTCCACCCCCTCTTCCATTTTTATTTTTTAATTTTTGAGAAGGGTTCTTGCTATGTTGCCTCAAAATCCAGACTCAAGTGGTACCCTTGCTTCAGCCTTCTGAGAAGCTGGTGCTAGAGGCATGTGCCACTGAGCCCGGCCAGAAACAAAATTTCAACATTTTAAAGCACATTTTATATTCTTGTGACTAACTCTTCCAGAATTAAACATAGCTATGTTGTGTTTGCCACTGCATGATCGCAATTCGCAAAGGAGTACAGTATGTGAAAATACACTTTAAAACTACAGTAAATATCACTTAATCTCTCCTAATGATTTAGAAAATGTTCCAGCATTTCACCATATCTCCCAGTTATCATTGAGAAGAAAAGCAACATGGGGTATGAGAAACACACAAGGAAGTTCAAGACCATGAAAGTTACAATCTAAAGAGCCTTCAAAAGAGGAAACATACCAGTCTTGGCACAGAGTGAAGTCACTTGGCATGACGTTTGTTTTTCCTACAATGCCTACAGCATTATAGTAATTTTTATGTAAAAAGGTGCTGAGAATAAAATGATAGCTATAATAGAATGCCAGATGACTAAATAAGTAATACTGCGCTGTAATTGCATATTCCATCTGCTTTCCCATGAGGAAGTCACAGCTACCAACAAGCTTGTTGTGAAATTATAATTTCATGCTCTGTACAAAATAAACGATGAACCAAAAGTATTTACTAAAGAAATGAATGAAAGGAGAAGCATTTTTGGCTAAACTTTGCATGTTAAGCTAAATCATTTTGAGAGGCCAGAGATTCATAGAGATATTTTTATTTATTTTGGTTAAGGAAACAAGACTGTAGAATAGTGCTGTCTCACAGAACTTCAGTGATGGAAATGTTCTGATTCTGAGCTAAACAAAACGGCATTCCCAAGCTCTTGAAATCTTAAAATGTAACAAATACAACTGAAGAGTTGAATTTTTAATCGTTTTTAATTAATTTTTGTCATTCTAAATTTAAATAATCACATGATTCATGGCTGCTCTGTTCATCAGCCATCAAGTCTAAGAGAACAGAAAGTAACAAAGTTCAGCTTAGTGGAAACAGACCAGGAAAATTAATGTTATGGTGGCAACATGCACAAATAAATGCTCTGTTGCTACCTGTTGGAATACGTTTACCATATCAGTGGTCTTAAAACCACTGATACCCATTTGCACTGAGTACCCATTTGCACTGAGTACCCATTTGCACAGGAAAGAGAGTTAAACAGCAGGAAATAGATTACTTAGACATCAGTAAAACTCTGCTAACATGTCTAAGCTAAAATAGGTTTTAGTTTACAACTTGAATAAGAGTGGCAAACTTACAACCAAGTGACCAAACTGATGATGATTCATGTAGTTTTATATGTGTATATTATTTATGAATCAATAGTTTTTATCTGTAGTGAGAGAGAACAATAGGAATAAATTGCCCTTATTTATCAAAAAAATAATAACTGACAGTACTATCAGTCTATGACAGATGATTAAAGGTTAAGTTCCTGAGATTGACAGAGGAGGTCCGGGAGAAATGTGCCTCAGGAGACATCTGACTCTTGCAAGGAAATGGATTTGGGCCCAGGAGAGGGAGCACGTTCTTCCACTTTCTGTTGCTCTGATTCAGTAGTTGTCATACCTCACTCATGTGCATTTGTCTCCGGAGACAAAGTGCTGATTCATTAACAAAAATATTCTGTTAACTGGATACTTAATCACTGAGATTCCAGGGTCAGGCCACAGCCTCTTGAGCATTTAGGTATTGTGAATTTATTCACTGAAGCTCAATCCCCTCAGAAATATGAATACAATTTCCATGTTTGCAAAATTCAAAGGCCTGACCCTGAACCATGGTGACCACACAGCAGGCCTATGACACTAACAGCCAACTAGCTGGTCTCACACAGCTGATATCCCCGCTTCGTTGTACAGTTCATACAAACTGGCTCAGTTCTGCAGAATGATCAACCGTACCCTCGACTATATCCTTAATTTCAGCAACATTTGCTGAGTTCTCACCTAGTGCTACATACTGTTCTAAGCATCTCATTCTTATCTAACCTGACTTTACCACTGTGAAACAGGTTATCATTCCATCTTCCATCTGTGTACTGATGTACACAGAATTTAGCAAAGTGTTCCAAGATTGTAGACCCACATAAGTAGATAGTGGAATAAAGATTAGAATTCAAGCATTATAATTTCTCAGCCTGTATTCTTAATCATTGAGTCTCTTGCCTTAGACTAAATAGTAATGCCTAACAGAGTAATTTCTGTTAGGAATTTTTTTATGCAATAATTTTCCAAGAAATTTACTTCTTATTAAAGCATCACAACTTGTTTAGCTGGACATGGAGATGTTTTAGGAAGGCAACAGGTTGTACTGGTCATTAAAGCCACATCTTTTCTATACTTAGCACCTCCTAAGCTAGCACCTCTTTCATGAGAAGAGTAAACTATAAATATATTATGACATATTTGATAATAAGAAAGGCAAAGAGAGCATTATGTTTCAATCATGTCACCAAACACTCCTGCTGTCTCTAGTACCCAATTTAATCCATATACAAAAGTTCATAAAAGTTAAAATCATTGAAAACAAGGTCTCTAGAAAATAGATGGTGAGCAAATTATCATACACTGATGGAGAAAAGTTGATTATTGTAAGCTGTTGTGCATCTCTTATTTAAATTTGGTTTTCATTTATAATTTGTAGAACAAACCTCTTACAGATTAAAGGAGTAGACCCTGAAATAAGTTCCAAGTTAGGATACTGTAAATTCCAATATACTGTTTTGATATATTAGAATTTATAAATTAGAAAAAGGGGTCCAATATTTTAATACTATTCTATCAGTTTTATTGATAGAAAGTCAGAGTAAGAAAGAATGGGAGACCCTTGGGAAAGGCGATAAATACTTAGGGGTCACTAACAATTGTTATGTGTGTCTTTGGCTCCCACCATGCAGTGTGACCTGAGGAAGTAGGATCCATTTTGTTAATCCTAAAATTGCCTTTCTTAAGACTTCAGTTGAGTTCCCAAAGATTGAAATACAGAGAACAGTACCAGCAGGATGCCATAACATTATAGAGAATTTATTAGACAAATTTACCTGTTGTTTCTTAGTCCCTTAATTCTAAATGTAAACAGAATGTTTGTTGCCAAGTACTGTGCTCATGAGTTCACTTTTTGCTCAGAAGATACTGACAATGCCATTTGGTAGGGAAAAAATAGGGTGATATAAACCTAGGATGCATTGAACAAATAAAAAGATCTGCCACGTTTTCAAAGTATAACCAAAAGAAATTATTACAATGATGAAAATACATCATAAAACCACAATGACTACCTCTGAGAGGTCTTGGAACTTGGTGAAACAGACCCTTCCATAGCCTCTAACTGTATAGAAATATCATGCATATGTAGTTGTGCAGGGAATGAGTAGGAGGGAGGGGAGGGAAGAATAGAGAGACAGAGAGAGAGAGAGAGAGAGAGAGAGAGAGAGAGAGAGGAAGACAGCAGAGTTCAGGGAATTCCATGACAATAGATTTTATTTACTAAATGCTACCTATGTGGTAGGCAATAGGAATTTCAAACAGCTGGGCGTGGTGGCACATGCCTGTAATCCCAGCACTTGGGAGGATGAGACAGGAGGATCCCTGCTAGTCTGTGACTAGCTTGGGCTAAAAGTGAGTCCAAGGCCAGCCGAACTGCATAGTGAGACCCTGTCTCAAAAAGACAAATAAATAAAGACTTGAAGTAATTTATTTCAGCTTCCTCAGACAATAATCCAGATGAGTTGGAGAGTACAATTCCCATCTAAGAAATAAAGAAAAACTGAATTAACTTAGCCAAATTTGGCAAGCTGGAGAAAACAACACGTTTCATGAGAGGCTGAGCTCTTAACCACAATGCTCTATTTTGCAGAGGAAATATCTGCACCAGCCCAAGTTTGCTATAAACTTCATGATTATGTGAGTCTGCACACTATCGCATTTCTTTTCTATTCATATTTTATCTGAAGGAAGTCCATTTTGAAATAAGCTTCTAAACTGAAAATTGTTAAGGGCAACTTCCTTTTTATTATAATCTTTCTTTTTGATTAAAAAGCACACATAACATGAGGCTTTTTAAAGAAAGAAAGGTTTTCTACAGTGGAGAATCCATGACTTAGAATTTGGAATAGAAAAACCTGGTGATTCTGGACTACCGTTTTGATAGAACTAGAAAACACTTGTGTTCAATTGATCACCAGGCAGTCTCATACAAATCTAAGGATGTAGCTCAACTTCTCCTTATTTTTGAAAATTCAGTTGGATAATTCATATTAAATAGGAACAGGCAAACACAAATGTGAAATATTTGACAGAACAAACCAAAATTATTTATTCATTAAGTAGGCTATAAACATGCCATCCACATACCAGAAAGCTAATAATTACGCTCTAATTGTGCTAATTATATAATGACAATATTGTAAATGTTTGTTTATATAATTTTAGATTTCTCTGAGTAATCTTATCATTAGTCAGACTTTGGACTTCTGCCACCATGTATTTATGTATATACCGGTGCGTGCCAAACAACTCAAACAATTTATTTTTTAAATTGGTGGTTAAAATGCTACTAGTATTCAAATCAGAAACCTACCACATCCTTAGGAGGAGGTTCTGCTTCCTTCTTTATCTTTTTACCCATCCTGGAAAAAGATGTAAAATGGTTAAAGTGACATTTTTGCCTTTCTAGATATGTACAAGTCACTTATCTACTTAAATTCTTGAGAGGTTTTCTCTTTTACATTGTCTTTGTTAAAAGAATATGCAATACATGTAAAACTTATTGTACATGTACAAACCTGCCACCAACACCCTGATTTTATTTACATGACAGGAAATAGTTTACCATTCTTACAGCTCATTTACAATGGACTTGAGAATCTAAATCCAAGATACTTGTGGGATCTGCAAGAACGTTGGTGCCACAAAGTACGAATTGTCTCTATTAATAACAAAGCAGTTGAGAAGAAATGTATTCTGAGAAAATTGGAGTTACTCTTTGTTCTTTGTAAGATCTTTTTATATCTACCTTCTGCCCATACCTGTAGAAAAAAGGAACAGTATATATACATACTGACACACCCCAGAGGAACAACTTGATTGGATATGGACAATGCCCCAAGATGTTGGTGACTGTTCGAATAACTCAGCTTCTGCTGGTTTTCTTCAGGGAGAGTTGTGGGATTATGTTTGTCATTATAACTATCTCAAATAGCATAATATAGCCTCAAATTACCATGGTCTCAAGAGATAAATCTTAAGAAGTAGAAAATCTTTGGAGGGGATCTATAATGTAAGTATAATAGTTGAAATTGCTTGTCAAAGACCATAAGCAACTTCCCCGCATTATAAATAGTTAGCAGAATTATTACAAATACTAAAAAGCCTCATGTGCATAGAAATTCATGGGGACCTCCGAAAGACAGAGGTCACTAACATCAGGTAACATAAAGGATCTCGAGGAACTAAGCAAACTTATTCTGTGAGGTACTATTTTATTCTATATTCAATATGTTAAAATGTATCCACATCTGCTATTGGATGTCATTTTTATCATAAAAAATTGCATTTGAAACTACTCAGTAATTAGCACATGGAAATTCTTGTCAAATAGAAAACTGTTTTCAGATGAAATGAAACCTTAATAAAACCATTTAACATTAACTTTTAAATTTTCTTTTCATATGTATTAGAGCCATCTTTTTGTTCAATTCTCAATATCTTTAATAGGCACAAGTTCTAGGCCTTATGCTTATAAGGATTTGGGCAGACATAGAAACTGTTCTGGATAATTGAAAAGCTATCCACTAGGGAAAACAATGAGTTCATAGCTCTTTATAACAATCCCAAGATATAACAGCTCCTGATTTATAAAAGAATTCCTAAGAATTAAATGCATGAAGTTGGTTTTCATCAACTGAGTTTCACTCAGGAAATAATTTTTTCTCTTTCATGATGGTGTTTTGAGCAATTGCCTAATGAAGAGCTCAGAAGCTATAATAAACTAAAGATCCAGTGTTGCAGTGATAGAGCTGGACACAGGCAATACTGTGGCTGTCTTATCACCACTTAGGTAAGATAATCAGGAAGATAAACAGTCAGTATAGGTCAGAGGCTACGAACCACCAAAACGACCCTAATTTTTTTCCATATAAAGGCAATGTATCTTCCCACAGAGAATTGTGAAGACAAAAAATGGTAGCATAAATAAGATTTTTAAAAAATACTCAAACTCAGAGAAATTAGTATTATTTCAACATAGTTCTCGTGTGTGTGTGTGTGTGTGTGTGTGTGTGTGTGTGTGTGTGTGTGTGTGTTTATAGCGATTCTATCATCTTACCTGGATTTCTATTCCCTAGTCCCACTTTCCCTTCCTGGGACGATCTTCTTACTAAATTCTTGTGACAAGTACATCAGTCTCTATTCTTCCGATATTCTCCAACCAATCACCATAATACGTCATTTAAGTAATACTTTAAAAGTCATTATTTATCTAGTCAGTCTCTTATTTCCAACTTTTCTAGAATTATGGATTAGGCTACAATGAGCATTCTTAGCCATAAAACTTTCACCAACATCCCCAACTGGTTCTTTAGGGTAAAGCTCCAATAGTAAAAGGACTGGGTAAGAGAGTACTAAGTTCATGGTATTAGCAAGACAGGACATGAGAAAGTCAATAAATTTGCGTCCTCTAAAGCCACTCTGCCCACACACGAGTTTATGGGTCACTGGCATTTCTCCTGCGCACAGCTTCGGCCCATAATCTTAAATATTTTCTAAGCCACACAATGTTTTGAACAGATTTAAGGTGGTGGAAGAGGGAACAAAGTAAACCAGGCCCCACTTCTTGAATGGCTCACTGTCAAGTAACGGAATCTTAGACCCCTGTTAAATAAAAGGGGGCTGAGGTGCAGATGAGAGTGGCCTCAATCCCAGGCTGACGCAGTGGGTGTCAAGCAGAGACCAGCCTTTAGAAGGTGTTCCCTCAGGAGTCCCCACTCCACAACACTTTCTCCTTTCCCAAGTTTTGCTCAGCTCCTGCGCCGATTTTCTGTGACCCCAGGACCAGAGGTGCAGCCCCGGGCCTCCTGTACCTGTCGGAAGGTCCCGGAGCGTCTCGGATCACCGCGGGCGCAAACCTCCTAGACTCCCGGTCCACAGTTGTGGCTGGTTGCTAGGCAACGCCTCCTTGCGCCTGCGCACTTCGGTGGGAGCGTACTAGCCCAGTACTTTGTCCCGCCCTGGACAGAGGTCGGTTCCGGGGAAGCCTGTGTTCCCTGAGTACGGTGCTTTGGGTCGGGATATAAACTGGAACCTCCTCGTGGCCTTGCCAAAGCTCTCCTTCCTTCTTTCTTCCCTTTCTGCCATTCTTCCCAGTAGGCCAAATAAAGAAAATATGAATCTGCTTCTTTCTTCTCTATCCCCAGCCGCCTATGGCAATCAGCTCTTAAGTCATCAATCGGCCGCCTACATTTTGTTCTCTCTGTATTCCCCCTCACGTCCTTACCCAACCCAGGTCATTTTGTTTGTCTTTACATCTGATGGCTTCAGTTTCTTATTCCTTCTAGTTCTTCCTGCATACCACACACAGATCAACCTGCCAGAAATCACTCTCTAGCCTTGTCTTTTGCCTACCCAAATGTCAGCAGCTTCCAAAGATGTTTTCAACACATTCCCAGGAACTCCAGGCCGCCTGCTCCTCCCTGTTCCTTCTGCAGCCTTCCTCTCCCTCTGCACTCAAGCCCGGGGCCGCACTTCTCACTCCCCCCAGTTAGTCATACTTTTTCCCCTGGGCTTTTGCTCGCTCTATTCCCTAATCTGCTTTTTCAGCAACTATTTATTAAATAGATACTATTTGCTAAGTTATATGCAGCTCTTGAAATATTATTTCATTTCTATTTAAACCCAACTCAAATGCCATCTTCATAAGATACTCTTCGGCTGCTGTTAGTAAAACACCTTTCCTTCTCCCCTTACACTGCAAACTGCTGCCCTCATCAGACCTCCAGACCGACGTGTGCTGGATGCTTCTTACGACTGCTGCGTCATCTTTTCTGTTGCTGCTGATGTTCTCTTCCTATCCTTTAAATTACCTGACAAACAGTTTTATACATAGTTAACAGTTCTTCATATTAAACTTACTGGAGTCAAATATCCGGTGTGATATCCATCTTCTTATTTTGACCACGACCCTCTTCTAAGTTTGAGGTTTTTCTCTGCATCCTTTTTTGCCATCAGTGCGTACAGTCAAGTCACTCCCGTGTCTTACAAAAGCAAAATCTTTTGTCAATCTTTGTATTAGCTTTCTGTTACTATAACAAAGAACCTCAAGCAGTTAACATATAAAGAGATTTATTTTGGCTTGTGGTTTTGGAAGTTGCAGTCTAGGACTAAGTGGCCCCCATTCCTTGGTTAAGGTGGTACAGCAGGGCAGGGGCACAAGGCAAAGCAAAACACCTCATGAGCTCGGAAGGAGAAGAGCCAGGCAAGGAGTTGGGATCACACAATCCTCTTGGAAGGAGCACCTCCAATAACATTGGAACCTCTCACTCCATCCTACCTCCTAAAGATGCGGAAACCTCCCAATAGTGACACCGTAATGATCACCCTTTAATGCATATATCTTTGGTGAACACTTAACCTAATCATAGCAATCTTGTATCTCCTAGCACCGTTCTGTTCTCTTTCCCCTTCAGGTCATTACAAATAACCTGTATTACTTTTACATCTTTAACATACCATTCACTCTCCAACTATAGGTCTTTTCCTAGCACCAAAACCACCTGAATCCACTGGGTATTTCTTGGTCTTTGTTTTCCTTGATATTACTGCTGCATATAACACTCTTGATGATAACTCTTTCTTGAAACTTTCTCTAACTTCCATAATGTTACTTGCTCTCGGTCCTCCTCTTACTTTCCTGACCACTGTTTAAAATCTTTTCTCTACAGCCTTAAATGTTGATATTTCCCAGAGATCTATTTCTGGCTGTCTTCCAACACTGTGTGCTTTTGTGGAGTGATCTTATTCATATCTGTGACTTCAATAGCCATGTACATGGTTCCCATTGCATTTGAAACTAAACTCTAGGCTCACATATCTTTCTACCTGCATAAATTCACCTAACTGTGCACAGGCATTTCAGATATCAACAACTAAATACATCATTTTGCCAGCATAAACATGTTTTCCTGTTTATCAGGAGTACCACCTACCAGCCATAAAATGCAATATTCATTGTTCTCATATACAGTTACTGGATTCTAAAAGTCTTTAGAATGTATCATCACCTTTCTAGTCCCATAGTCCCAGCATAGAATGTCACCATCCTTTACCTGGATTCATCTCACAAGTCTTCTGATGTGTCTCTCATCCTCTGGCTTTGATCTAGCATCAATCCATCTTTTCCAGGATGACCAAAGCAAACTGGGTAGAGTACAAATCTAATTTGTGTCTCTCCTATCTGACTTTCAATCATCCACTGCATAATGAGATGCAACAAAATTTTTAAACTGGCCTTCAAGACTCTTCTTGCTCTGATTCACTCTTCTGATAGCACCTCTCATCCCCCTCAAAATAACAAACTGTGCGTCACCCTCCAAGTACACCTGGACATGTTATATCCTTTGCTCAATTTTCAAATGTCCTTACTCATAGTTAACCCTAGGAAGTCTTCACTGATTTCTCCAGATATAGTGAAATATTTTTTATGCTATTTCTTACATTGCATTTCCTCTGTTTCTGTTATTTTCATGTAAAGGAATTGTCTTAGTTACTTTTTACTCATTGCTGAGAAAAAATACCTGAAGCCCAAAGTTGGGAAAGGAAAGGTTTATTTCTTACAGTTTTTGGAGGTGTCAGTCCACACTCAGTTGGCTCCAAGGCAGCGGGCATGGCTGGGCCGCAGTTCATGGTGGCCACCAACAGCAAGCAGGAACCAGCAAAGAGAGACACACCTTCTTCCTGCCATTACATCACATCCTGGCTTCACCCCTTTGTGGGTGGAGCACTGCCACCATCAATACAAGCACTAGACACTGAATGAATAACAAATGCACAATTCAAACTCCTGAGGCCTGGGGGCCACAGACATAAACCATGACAGGAATGAATTAATTCATTCGTATATATGTCTTCTCACCAAGGCTGTTTCTAAATGTTTCTCAAAATTCCAAAATTTGATGATTCACCAGATAGTTATGAAGTCCCTCATGTGAATCCTTATTCAATGATTCTTATCATAATTCTGTGAGGTGTGAATAAAGTAACTGGCATAAGAACACTGATGCTATATGGAGCAGCAGGTCTTGAGGTTGACCTGAATTTTGGAGCCATGTTCTGAAACAAATCATCTTACCAGCTCAGCCCAAAAATATAGTATTATGGTAAGTTGTAAAGAGTTTTTTTATGAAACAAAACTGCTAGTTTTTTTCAAAGACTAAGTCTTTACAGAATATATCTTTTCCTGTGATGTTTATTTCAATACACACAGCCCCGTGAGTTTTGACAAGGGTCTCCAATTGTGTAACCATTAACACCGTAAAGACAGAAAGAACATGTCCATCCCAAATCTCCCTCATCTCTCTTTGAAGAGCATTTCAATCCTCCCAAGTTTCCCTCAAGCCTCCTGGTCCATCCCACTTCCCTGGGAACAATGGATGTGCTTTTTTCCTTATAAATTTGCCTTTTCCAGAGTGTTCTATACATGGAGTCACACACCATGCTGCCTTTTCTGTGTGACTTCTTTAAGATGATTTTGAGATGTGTCCATAGTGTTGCATGCACCTTTCTCTTTTGCTGAGCAGGTGTATGCTGCATGGGCATGCAACATCTATCTGTGTTCACTGGTTGATGGACACTTGACTTCTTCCTGGCTTTGCACTGCTCTAAATAAGTTGTCTCTGTGAAATTATATACAGGTTTTTATGAACATATGTTTCCCATCCTTGGGAAAACACCCAGGAGTAGAATTTCTGTGTCCTATGCCTTGTGTATATTTAATGAGAAGCTGCCAAACTGCTTTCCAAAGGAGCTGTATTGTATTTGTGTTCTCATGGACATGAATGGGAGATCCACTTGTATTATCTGCTCAACAACACTTGATATTGTGAGTTCTTTTAATTTCAGTCATGCCAGTAGATGTGTATCTACTTCTGTTTTTCTTTTTTCTTTTTTTTCTCCTTCTGGTTTTAATTTGCATTTCCTTCACAATACTGATTGTGCTCTCATTCTGTGTACTTGTTGGCCATCTTGGTGCCTTTCATGAAGTATCTGTTCAGATATCTTTTCATACTTTTAATTAGGTTTCTTGTCTAATACAGCTGTAAGAATTTCTCTACATATAGTCTAGATAAATATATCTAGATATAGGTTGTTGATCAGATATATATTTTAGAAATATCTTTGCAAGTATGTGGTTTATCTTTTCTTAAAAAATAACTTTCAAAGACCAGAAACTTTCAATTTTGGATGAATTCTTATCCGTTTATTCCTTAAAGGCTAGCTTTGTTTGCAAAATTTCATATTTTTTGTATTGTTTATGCCATACCTCAGAAATCTTTGCCTAATCCCAGGGAAAATAAATAGTTTTGCTCTTACGTTTTTAGAATTCTCATGGTTTTTAAATTTTTACTGTGAACTCTATAATCCTTGTCAACTTATGTATATATCTTATAAAATGGTGTAAGGATCACAATTTTGCATATGGATGTCCAAATGCTCCAGTACTACTTGAAAAAACCTCCATTCTTTACATAGTGAGTTACTTTGGCACCTTTGTCAAGAGTAGTTTTATCCTTTGTAAGCGGATCTATCCTTGAACTAAACTACAATCTCTCAATTATTGGATCTCTTTTAAAAATTGTATCTTTAGAATAACTTTGATAAATCTATTCCTTTTCTTTTTACATTCCCTACATGTTTTAAAATTATCTTGCCAATTTCTATAAGAAACCTGCTGGGATTTTAATTAGAATTGCATTAAATCTAGAATTAATTGAAAATTTAATAGTATTGAATTACCCAATTACAAACACTGTTTATCTCTCTCCCGTTTATCTGAGCGCTTAAAAATTTCTCCCTGCATATATAGGCTTCACATTTCTGTTTTGTAAGATAGGCTTCTGAGTATTTTGTAGTTTTTTATTATAATAAAGAGTATTTTTTAAACTTCAGCTTTGAAATGATCATTTCTAGTATAGAAATATTTGAATTTTATGTATTAAACTTATACACTGTGCCTTGTTAAGCATC